TTTTTCTTTTTTTTTCAAGATTTTTCAAGGTCTTTGTTGATTTTTCTCCCAGATACATCGAAAACCCTGAAAAAAACAGTGAAGAGAAATGTTTGAAAGTTTGAATTCGTGCGCTTTTTCTCACCGGGTGGCCTAGAAAAACAAGCGAAAAAAGCTCGTCCCTAAGGGCTTTCTGCCTATTTTTCGATGCGTTTTTCTCGATGAAGAAATTTTTTTGCATTTTTTCTTTATTTCTATGTCAATCTACATGCATTTCTGCACATATTGATGCAATAAAAAAAAAGAGAAATTTGAACTTTTTTCAGTGATTTTTCAACAGATTTCAAGCATTTAATTTGGTTTTCAATTTGTGAAAATTCGAAATTCTGCAACTAAAAATTTGAAACGTCGATTAAAAAAGCCGAAAATTGGTGTGAAAGTAGCCATAAAACTGCGAAATCTGAAACTTCAGCAATTCGAAAAATTCAATTTTTTTCGAATTTCTGAAAAATTTCTACAAAGGGAAAAGAAAAATTCGGATCTGTATTCACCACCTTTAATCCCAAATCTTCTATTCCAGACCGCAGAAAAAGTGACCGCACACATCGAATGCATCCGCCAGACCTGTCGAGCCTTTATCCGTTCCATCGATCGTCTGGATCGAGCGAAATACGCCCGTCACGCATACTATTATAAATCCTGGAGCACTCTAGACACCGCCGTCCTCCAAACCTACAAACCAAAGCCAACAGCCACTCTGGACCTTTTATTTTGCGAGGATCGTGATTGTATGGGAATGTGTAACATTGATGGCTTCTGGAAGAGAACCGATCCAATTGCTGAGGTCCCACCGGCTGTGGAGAAGCTCAAAATGCTCAGAGAACGCTTTAAATATGTTCATAATCTTGCTGCCTACATTGTACCGTATACGGATGCTCATCAGAATGAGCAAATACCCGAGCACTATGCCAGATTGAAATTCCTGTCGGAATTCAGTGGAACGTATGGAACGGCTGTGGTTTCTAAAGAGAAAGCGGTTCTGTGGACCGACAATTGCCATTATAAAATCGGGTGTCGAGAATTGAATAAAGAGGCGTGGGTGGTGAAAAATAAGGATGATCGCAGCACGGAAAAGATTGGGGATTGGTTGGCACAGGAGTTGAAACGAGGAGATTATGTTGGATTCGATCCGACGCTTTTGACATATTGTAAGGGTTTGGAAATCTAAGATTCTGAGATTCTAAGATTCTGAGATTTTGGGATTTTGAAATTCTAAGATTCTATTTGGGTTTCATTTTTTTGAGGTTTCGGCATTTTTGGGATTTTCCGGGTTTTTTTTTTAATTTTAGAGATGTTTTGGATATTTGAATTTTTTGGGATTTTTTTTTGCATCTGAAACCCGGAAATTCGAAGTTCTGAAAATCCCAAATTTGGAAAATTCGAGATTCTGAAATTTTGGAATTGTTGAATTCTGAAAACCAGGTATTCTGAAAATCTGAAATTCTGAAAATCCCGGAATTTCGAAGTTCTGGAAATCTGAGATTCTGAAATTCTGAAATTCAAAAATTCAGAGATTTTGAGATTCTGAAGATATGAAATTTTGGAAAATCGAAGTTCTGATATTCCAAGAATCCAGTATTCTGAAAATCCCAATTTCGGAAAATTCGAAATTCTAAGATTCTGAAATTTTGAAATTGTTCAATTCTGAAAACCAGGTACTCTGAAAATTAGAAATTCTGTAAAATCGAAATTTACAGAATTCTGATAATTGGGAAATCCGAAATTCTGAAAATCCGGAATTCTAAGATTCTAACCTTCTGAAAATGTGAAATTCTGAGATTATGGAAATCCAAAATTCAAAGAAACATCCGAACATTTCAAAATCTGAAAAATCACAAAAATTCCAAAAAAAAATATTCAAAATTCCAAAAATCCGGAAATCCCAGATAATCTTACTTCAGAATCTCAAAATCCCAGAATTCCGGACTTTCAGAATCCCAGAATAGTAGAATCCCAGAATCTCAAAATCTTAGAATCTCAGAATTAACGAAATTTGAAATTTCAGAATCTCAGAATTTCAGAATCTCAGAATCTCAAAATCTTAGAATCTCAGAATCTCAGAATCTTAGAATCTCAAAATCTTAGAATCTTAGAATCTCAGAATCTCAGCATCTCAGCATCCCAGCATCCCCAAAAACATAATTCCAGCCTTCTACATCACCACCACCACCCAACTCCAACCCTACGGCATCGAATTGGTCCCAATTGCCGAGAATCTCATCGACACCTTCTGGACCGATCGTCCGTACCGTGAAGGCGACGCAGTGAAGATTCAAAGTCTTCAAACTTCTGGGAAATCTCCGTCTCGAAAACTATCAAGTCTCCGTGAAGAGCTCTCGGCTCAGCGATGCACCGCAGCGATGATCTGCTCTCTAGAAGACGTCATGTGGCTTCTGAATCTACGTGGCAACGATTTGCCATTCAGCCCTCTCACCTATTCGTATCTGTTTGTCACTCAACACGACGCTCACTTGTTTATCGATTTGGTGAAACTGGACAAAGAGGCGCAGGCTCATCTCAACCGTTTCGACGTCAAATTTCACGCCTACAGAAAGGTGTATGAATTCGTTTGGTGTTGGTTGGAAGCGGCCAAAAATGCGTATAATCCGCCCATGGTGCATCTGGGACAGGAGACCAATCAATGGATTGGAAGTGTGTTTGGAGAGTACTCGAGAATTGCGAATTCGATTGTTAAGGAGATCAAATCGAAGAAGAATCGAATTGAGATGAACGGGATGAGAGCTAGTAATGTACGAGCATTTTTGTTTAATTTTGGTAAAAATTGGAGAATTTTGAAAATTTCGAAAAATTCCGAAAATTCTGAAAGTTTCGAAAAATTCGAAAAATCTAAAAATTTTTTGAAAAAAAGGAAAAATTCCGAAAAAGAATTATAATTTCAAAAATTTTAAAAATCTGAAAATCCCAAAATTTATAGAAAAAATTCAAAAATTCCCAAAAATCTCAAAAATTCTGAAAGTTTCGAAAAGTTCCAAAGAAATTGAACAAAAATTATTAAAAAACTGAAAATTCTGAAATTTTCAAAAAATTCCGTAAATTTTGAAAATTCCGAAATTTCAAAAAATTCCGAAAACTTCGAAAATTCCGAAAATTTCACAAATTCAGAGAATTTCAAAAATTCTGAAAAATCTGAAAATTCCGAAATTTCAAAAAATTCCGAAAACTTCGAAAATTCCGAAAATTTCACAAATTCAGAGAATTTCAAAAATTCTGAAAAATCTGAAAATTCCGAAATTTCAAAAAATTCCGAAAACTTCGAAAATTCCGAAAATTTCAAAAATTCTGAAAATTTCAAAAAATTCAAAAAGTTCCGAAATTTTGAATTTTTAATATTACAAATAGAAAATTCCGAATAATCTGAAATTCCCGGAAATTCCAAAAAATCGGAAATTTTCTAAATTTCAGCTCCGTGACAGTGTAGCCATCGTGGAATTCCTCTCCTGGTTGGATCGAGAGATGCTGGACCTCAAACGACAATACACCGAAGTAGATATGGTCCAAAAACTGGAACAATTCAAGAGAAACCAGAAGACCTACGAGGGTCTCAGCTGTCCGACGCTCTTCTCATCCGGAGAGAACTCGTCGTCCGCTGTCCATGACCCGGACCCGAATCGTATCATATCAGAACTCGGAGAGTGCCATCTCCACCAATTTCTCTTCCAATCCGGTGGTCATTATGTGAATGGGACCAGCAGTGTCTCCAGAACCTTCTGCAACACCGATCCAACTGAAGAGTTCGCTCTGAACTACACAGCAGTGCTCCGGGGGCACATCAACGTGGCAAGTGCCCATGTCCCACCTCATTCGACGTTTGGAAGTCGGTTGGATGTGTTCGCGAAGAAGGAGCTGTGGAATGTGGGATTGGATAATTCACAGGCGACCGGACATGGTGTGGGGCATTGTTTGAATATCAGGGATACCCAGGGTAAGAGAGCCGGCCGCGGTCGGTCGTAAAAGTCAATTTTATGTTAATATACAGTGGCGAGAAGTGGTGAGGAGAATTTTTTCGAACATTCATAACTTTGTTCAAAATGGCCCAATTGACTTGAAAATTTGCATGAGAATAGCTGTAAAATCCAAAAACAGAAAAATCGGTTTTTTGAAAGTTTCTCACTATCAGAATATTCAGAGAAATTTCAGATGTATCAGTGGTCAGAGAATCCAAAAAAAAAACTTTTTTCAGATTTTTTTCTGGCTTTGATTTTAGATGTCAAATGATTCTCAGTGTCCAAATATGCAACAAAAAATTTTTAAAGAGTTTTGGAAGTCGGGCTCTCGAGTTATGATGCTCAGAGCACAAAAGGTATGTGTTGGCATTATTTCCATAAATCAGCTGAAAAATTCTGAATATGGGAAATTTTCAAAAAACCGAAAAAAATTTGTATATTTTTTGGATTTTACAGCTATTCCCATGCAAAATTTCAAGTCAATTGAGCGATTTTGAACAAAGTTATGAATGTTCGAAAAATTCTCCGCACCACTTCTAGCCACTGTACATGATTTTTCGCACATTTCGATACCCTTAAAAGCCCTATCAGTAGTTATAGGTGAGCCAGAGAGCAGTGCTGATAGCAATGGATTGGTAGTGGCTGAACAAGTGATCTCGCTGGAGCCGGCATACTATGATGCAGGCGGAAAATACGGTATTCGCATTGGCAATTGCTATGAGACGGTGCCAGTGGAGCGGGGTACAGACAAGGACCCGTTTGTGGCATTCAAGGTAAAAATAGCCATTTTTTGGGGGGATTTTCCTGAAAAATGACCAAAAAAAGCCTTAAAAATCAATAAGTTTCATCGATTTTCAAGTTTTTGACTGAATTTTCGAACTTTTCATCGAAATTTTTGGGGGTACGACGAATTCGAACGCTTCCAAAATCGAACAGACCTAAAATCGAACATGTGTCAAAACAGAACAAGAGCAGAATCGAACTGCGCGAAATTCGAACTGTGTCGGAGTCGAACTGTCCCTAATTGGAACGCTGTTAGCCATGGGGCGCGCTTGCATTTTTCCTTAAATTAGTGACTTTTTTCTTGAGAAAACTTAAAAAATATATACGAATCAGTTTTATTGGAAACAAAAACAATAAAAATATTAAAAAAAAAAAAATAATAATTTGCGGGGAAAAAA